GGACTCAGTCAAAAGGCTGCACCCAAGGACCTAGAGGGCCACATGGGGCCTCGAGGCTGCAGGTTCCCCACCCCTGCATAGATAGGGTGTACACGAGACAGAAAGAGAGGATGGATAATAAAGAGAGCAAGATAAATCCTCTCTGGAAAGGAGAGGTGATTTCATGTGTGTGTGTGTGTGTGTGTGTGTGTGTGAGAGAGAGAGAGTGATAGCAAAGAACTGGAAAGAGTAGATACCTATGTATTGGAGAATGTCTAAACAAATTGTGGTATGTGAATGTAACGGAATATTACTATGCTATAAGAAATGATGTATGTGATCAATACAGAGAAGCATGGGGAGGTATGTATGAACTGAAGCAGAGTAAAGTAAGCAGTGCTAAGAAAACAATATACTGTACATAGTAACTACAACAATATTAGCTGAAAGAACAACCACACACAAAACAATCAAAATTGAATGTATCAAAATTATAAAGATCAATAAATTATAAACATAATATGATAAATATAAGTTATAAAGACTGATATGAAGAAATATGAGAGAACACCTTCAATTTACCCCTTCATGGAGGTAGGAGGTCCACAGGTATTATAATTATGCATGTTTTTGGATTTTTTCAATTTAATGATCAATTGTGTGACTTTTTCCCCTTCTTTTTCTTTTCTTTTTCTTTTTAAATTTTTTAAAAATTTGTAATATAGAATGGCTCTCTGGCAGTGGGGAGAGAGGGATAATAGAGATAAATATGATGATGTAAGGAGCAGAAAATATAAATAAGATCTTATTTAATTTTTTTTTGAAAGAAAGAACATCAAACTAGAAATTGGAGGACTTGGGTTTTACTCCTGCCACTAACTGGCCCTGTGATCTTGGGCAAGTTATTTCACTTCTCTAGGTCTCACTTTCCTTATCTGCAAAGTTGGGGGGAGGGTAGAGTAAATGATGCCTAATGTCCTTTTCAGTTCAAAATCTTATGATATTAAAAAAAAATAAATTTTTCATTGTCTATGACATTCAAACTGATTTCCCCCTCTTCCCTAGGTATTCATAGAGTCGAAGACAAAACTGAGAATTTAACTCCAACAAGATATTTTTATCTGCCTACAGCCTGAGGATGAAAAAAGAAATTTTTTCAAAAGGAAACTTCATCTTAATGTCTACTATTCCCTCAAAGGCCTAAATGACAACAGCGCAAAAAACAATAATAACAATAATTAATGATGCTGATAACAACTAGGATTCATATAGCACTTTAAGGTTTGCAAAGTGCTTTACAGATATTATGGCATTAGAGCTTAACAACAGCCTTGGGAGGTAGGTTCTATAATTGTTCTCATTTTACAGATGAGGAAACTGAGGCAGACAGAGGTTAAATGATTTGCCAAGGGTCACACAGCTATTATGTTAATATAAATGCTAGCTATTATTATTCTATAAATAAGTACACAAAAGGCTCTCAGAATGAAGACATTCAGAGCAACAGAAAGATAATCTTCAAAGTAACCAGAGTCTGGGTGGGGAATGGGACTGAGAAGCCTCCCTGAAGAAAGTGGTATTTGAAATAAGTTTTACAAGAGGTCATAGATGTCCAGAAGAGGAAACGAGGAGATGAAGATCTATACATATGACCAAGTAGGCCAGTTTCAATGAACCATTGAATGGGGGAAGAGGAGTAAAGAGTGAGGAGACTGGGAAGTAAGGAAGGAGACAGGTTGTAAAGAGATTTAAATGCAAAACAATAGACTTCACATCGGATGGCCATAATAGGCAACCGAAGGGGTTTATTGAGTGAGACAGTGATACATTCACATTTGTGCTTTAGGAAAATCATCCTGGAGACAGTGTAAAGGGTGAATTGGAGAAGGAAGAGACAATGGTAGAGAGACCTAACAGAAGACTATTGTAATAGTGCAGATGAAAAGTGATGAAGGCCTGAAGATATATTGTAAAGGTAGAAATGACAAGTTTTGGAAACTAATTGGATATGTGAGTTAAAAGAGAGTAAAGAGTTGAGAAGCATACTGAAGTTGGCAACCCAGAGACTAGATGGATAGTGGTGCCTTTGACAATATAAGGAATTTTAGAAGAGGGTAGGACTTTGGGGAAAGATAAATGAGTTTTGTTTTGGATATGGTAAGTTTGAGATACCTGCTGGATATCCAATTCAACATACCTAATGGGCTGTTGAAGATGCAGTTGGAGCTCCCCGAGCAAGACTAGGGATATGTACGTAGATATGGGACTTAATTTCATAGAGAAGATAACTGATCCTGTGGGAGCTTATAAGATTACCAAAGAACATAGTACAGTGAAAAAAAAAAGGGGAGGGGGTGGCCAGTACACAGCTGTGGGAGACACCTACAGTCAGGTGGGTGATAATTTAGGGGTAATGATAAGGATGAGGATCTGGCAATGAGAAGGAACAGCCAAAGGTAGGAGAAGAACCAGGAGAGAGGATTGTCATGAAAACTCAGAAAGGAAGGAACATCCAAAAGAAGAGGATGGTCAAAGGTGTCAAATGCTGCACAGAAGCCAAGAAGGATGAGAATCCAAAGGAAGTCATTAGATTTGGCAATTAAAGAATTATCATAAACTTTAGAGAGAGGTTTCAGTTGAATGATCAGGTCAGAAGCCAAATTGTAGTTGATTTAGAAAAGAGTGTAAAAAAGAGGAAATGGAATTACTGAGAAAAGATAATTTTTTTCCAGGAGTTTATCAGAGAAGGGAAGGAGAGAAATCAAGCAATAGTGAATAGGGATGGTGTGATCCAGTGAAAGTTTTTTAAGGATAGGAGCAATTGAGGAACAGTTTGCAGTTGAATGTGGAAAGGAGAAGTCCATTATCTTCATTGGAGAGGAAGGAGAAAGCAGTGGGGGAGGATATATCAGAGAGATATGAAATGAGGGGGAGAGAGAGCTCAGGGCAAATAGCCTCAAGTTTTTGTTTCTGTTTTGGTAATGTGATGAATGAAAATCCCCAAGAGACACAGTTGTTGGGTAATCAACTTATTAATTAGGCTAGCCAGATAATCAATAAATTGATGGTCAATTGATGGTTTCTCTTGGTAACCAAAGATGGCAAAGGGGGCTTTGAAACACCTTAAATATCCTCTGACAGAAAACTTCCCTAACAAGTGCAGCTCAACCCTGATTGGTAGACATTTAATGAGGTGGGCTAAAAGTCTTTATCTCCTCTTGCTGAGAATGTGGTTTGATCAAGAGACTTAAGGTGTCTGGGCATGGGAAGCTATTTCCATCTGAACCTCTCTAGCTAGTTTTCTCCTTCATGAGCTGGATTGCTCTAAACTCTTAATAGAAGGTATCAAGGACAGGAGGTTCCTCTACCAGTCAAAGGCTCACTCAGACTGGATTTTGTTTATACTCTAAACAGAAATTAGGTTTCCCAATTGGGTGGGATCCAGCCTAACCTAGTTAATAAACTTGTGCCTTGGGAACTAGGAGTAATCTCATCACTCAGCCACGCCCTTCAGAGACAGACCTTTTGGGGGGCATTAACAAAAATAGAAGGAAAAAGGTGAATCACAAATTCATAATTAGCTATTAATAAAATTGCATAATATTAATTTCTTTCAGTAAAGTATGAGGTATAGTTCTAACCAATTGTAAGAATGAAGGGAATGGGTGTCATAGGAGGCTTGAGGAGAGATGAGATGGTTTGGGGCAGTTGCTAAAGTGAAACCAATTTGCCAGGTCAGTGACCAACATGCTAGAGGATTAAATATTTTCTCTAATCCTCACAATCTCTAAAATCTCCCTAAAATAGAAATTATGCTCCTGAAATAAAACAATTTCATCCATCTCCATGGTTTGGGACACTAAGAATATAAACAAAGTAAAAACTTGATGAACAACAAAGAAAGTTAACCTCTGATCTCTAACTCCCTCAGCTCTCCAACCCCACCCCCATCCCCATGCTGATAGCAGCAGGGCTATATAAACTAACCTACAGGACTTGCAACAGAAGTCAACTGTAGGCTTATTAAAAGCAGTTGGTGTATTTACTTCTTATCTATAAAAATGTTATCAGTATTGTTAAAACTGTCATAAATACAAGGGTAGTTTGAAAGAAAGGTTGGGGCTGAGTTGTGTATGATGGGGTGATTCTAAAAAAATATCTCTTTCAAAGCACACATTGCTTTAGAGGATTATTGGTTTGTTTGTTTTTTTCTCTTCCAGCGTGGGACAGTAATACCTTTGGCACCATATCCCTCTTTCAGCTTTCAATCAGTTGATTCACATTTATGAAGCATCTACAATGTCCTAGGCACTATCCTGAGCATAGGGGATGCAGACAATGGTGAAAGAGTCCCTGTGCTGGAGGAGCTTATAATCTCAGGTGGAGATCCCCAAGGAATCTGTGTATAGATTTCAAGAAGTCTGTGAACTTGAATGGAGAAAAAAAAAATCCCAACTTTATTTTAATATAATTGGTTTCTATAGTAATCTCATATATTTGATTTTATGCATTAACAACATCATTCTGAGGTGGTCTGTAGGCTTCACCAAAGGGGGTCCATGACACAAAAATGGTTAAGAACTCCTGATGTAGAGGATGAGGGTAAGGATAGACACCATAAATGCATGTAGGTATGTACAAAATAGATGCAATACATGTGAATAACAAAAAATAAAAAATCTTCACCTATTTCACCTAATATTCTTAGACATATAAAACGCTGGAGTAAGGGGGTAGTAGCACCTACCAGAGTAAAGTTTCTGGAAAATATCTGTCTTGTTAGTTTCCATAAAAGGCTACTTAACTGCATGAACTTCAAGTTAATTTGTTTAGACAAAGCTGCTGAAGGAGAGAAAAGGATCCAAGGGTGAATATTTGATTAGCAAGCTTAGTGTTCTTAGGCTCATTTCCCTTTGCAGAAGTAACCCAAGATTCGCATCCTCTTCATTTGTTAGTGACTAATCTCCCTGCTGGGATGGCATGCCCTTCAAAAGTATCTGGTACAAGTTAAAACTTCTTACCTGCTCCTTCTGTCCTGAGGAGGGAGAGGAGGAAAGACCAGAGCAGAGACAGCATAGAAGCAGTGTCTGAAATCTTCCTGACAGATATTGGATTCACGTTTTGAAACAGCTCCCCTGGACTGAAAAACCCGCTCAAAGTTGTTTAAACAGGCTTAACGTCTCTCTTTCTCTAAGCTCCACCCCAATTCCGGCTTCCTCTATAGCATAGTGTTCACCCTTGAGTGTGTGTCATGAATCCCCAAGGTAGTCTGGGAAAGCTTTTAAAGACCCCTTCTCAGAATATTTTAAACGTATAAAATAAAATGCAAAGGAATAGCAAGGAAGTTAATTATATTAAAATAGTTATCATAATATTATTTGAAAAAACAATTTCATAGAAACCCCCCACCTTGCCCCAGGACAAGAATCCTTGTTAAAAGGGACTTCCTATTTCATCTCCAAGTAAGAAACTATCCCCTGCGTTGGTCCTGTCTTATTGACTGAGGAGACAGAAAGACACATACACACAGTGTTATTTTTACATTATAACATTTAGAGATTACTCCCTCTAAGAGTTCTCTTGTAACAAAGTAAAATAATTAAGTGAATCTAATAATGCAGTGACCTCATCTGAAAATATAGGTATTGCTTCTTTAGAACCCCTCACATCTCTTTAAAAAAAAAATAAGAGAAATCTATTTTCTCTCCCTTTCACCTTCACCTCCATTAGAAAGAAAAAAAGAAACACAAATTTCTTGTAACAAATACACATAGTCAAGCAAAACAAATTCCCTCAATGGCTGTGGACAGAAGTATGTATCCAATTCTATACTCTAAATCCATCATGTCTATATGATGAATACCATGTTTCATTGTTGGTCCTCTGGAATCATGAATGATGACTTCATTGATCATACTTCTTACAACTCAAAGTTGTTTGCTTTTACATTTTTGCATTCAAAACAGTTCTTTTTGTGGTGGCAAAAGCAAAACAAAAGAAAACAAAACTGGAAACTAAGGGGATGCCCAACATTTGAGGAATGGTTGAGTAAATTGTGGTATGTGAATGGATGGGATATTCTTGTACTGTAAGAAATGATGAAGGGGATGGTTTTCAGAAAGACTTGGGAAGAATTAGATGAACTGATGCAGAGTAAAGTAAACCGAGTCAAAAGAATGATTTATGGCATCAATATTATAAAAATGAATAATGTTGAGGACTTTTATAAATTGATGAAGAATGAATTGTGCAAAACCATTTATCTTTACAGAAATAACTCAGGATCTACATACTTCTGTGAATTTATTTTTTTATTTCCCTCCCAGAGTGACACATCCTTCAAATATACCTGAGAGGAATTTAAAAACCACAGACCTCTTCCTGCAGTCCCATGGAGGAGGAGAAGAAAGGAAAGATTAAAACAGAGAGAACATAAAAGTAGGGGTCAAATTTTTTTCTCATAGACATTTGGATTTATTCTTACATAGCGTCTCATTTACCAACTGAGCAACAGCTCCAGGTGTGAATTTCCCAGCCTGCAACACTCTTACCCACCTCCTAACTTTCAGTAACATTTAAATTTTGATTTTAGTTCAATGTTTTCATAAAATTCTATTTCTCTACTTTTTTCTGCTCTACTCTGATTATCTCATTGGATCCTCACAACAACTCTGGGAGGTAGGTGGGAATTAGTTTAGCTAATTAGTTTAAAGCAGAGACATGTCACAGAATCATAGAAAATTTCAGTAAATAGTATTGCCCCATCAACTTGGGCATACTTCCCCACAAATATATGTACCACCTATGGGAAGACTGGACTCACCTTATGATCATATATGGGCACCAACACATAGGGAACAAGCATGTAGAATGGCTCATATGGGGGAACAAATTGCTAGAAGTTACTCTTGTTTTTGATGTGACATCATCTCTTGATGTGACCCTGATCTCTGTGGGTTTGCTGCCAGTGGGTACTGCTCAGTGCTGGGCCTGCACATGCATGTGGCATCACATCTGTACTGTTCTCCCCCTCACCACCTCTCATTGCTGGTCTGATGGGCATTATTCTCTGCTATCAGCATCTCAGCTCCAGTCTACTAGGGTATCAGTGCCAAGAAAGCCTCTTCCTAAGGATAGCCAAAAGGTTCTTTTTTTCATAGTCAGGAGATACCACACACAGCTAAGAAAAAACATTCAGAATGCTCCCTGATTGTTGCGGGTGTTCAGTCATTTCAGTTATATCCGACTCTTTGTGATCCCATTTGGAGTTTTCTTGGCAAAGATACTGAGGTGGTTTGCATTTCCTTCTCTAGCTCATTTTAAAGATGAGGAAACTGACAGCAAACAAGGTTAAGTGACTTGCCCAGTGTCTGAGGCCAGATTTGAACTCAGGAAGATGAGTCTTTTTGACTCCAGGACTGGCGCTCTGCCCACTACTGCACCTCCTAGCTGCATTTGATTAAGATGGTCTTTTTTTCCCCCCAAACCCTGTACTTAGTACCGAGATCAGAGTCTCTTGTCCCAGACTTGGAATTAGAAATTTCCAAGATTTTCTCTGTGATGACCTGCAAATGAATAGCCAGAACAAAAGGTAAGCCAAAGGAGCCAAGGTTATTGCCTTGACTGCTACCCACTCTCCTGTCAACACTAGGTATGACGACCAATAGTGAAATGTTCCTAGCGTTGAGCCTGCATTTTGGCCAGGGGTAAACCTTTCTGTCTCCTTATAATTATGTTTTCACCATCCAGGCTTCCCTACTGCTAAATGAGGCAAAAGGCCTCAGAAAAGACTTTCAATACTGTATTGCCTGTTCTCTGGAGAATGCAATTCTCTCATGTTTTATTTGTGCCTCTGCAGTACTTCCGCAAGGGCAGCTACAAGGGCAGAGATGACTGAGCCTAGAGTCAGGAAGACTCATCTTCCCGAGGTCAAATCTGGCTTCAGACACTTACTAGCTGTGTGACCCTGGGCAAATCACTTAACACTGTTTGCCTCCGTTTCCTCATCTGTAAAGTGAGCTGGAGAAGGAAATGGCAAACCACTCCAGTATCTTTGCCAAGAAAATCTCAGATGGGGTCACAAAGAGTCAGACACAACTGAAATAACTGAACAACAACAACAAAAAGTACTTCCACAGGACTAGCTAGGTGGTTTGTAGTCGCTGAGTTAAATAATTTGCTGTCTATGCAGTAGCTGACCTTTTTTTTGTCATTTTTGTCTTGATTGAAGGTCTCCAAAAACATCTGCTAAAAGCTTTATGCTAAAAAGCTTGGGAGCAAGTACGCAGCCCTGCTTCACTCCCTTGGTGAACGGGAAAGTATGAGAGCATCATCCGTTATCCAAAATCTGGGTAAGCATGTCGTCATGAAACTGGCATACAATTCTGATGAACTTCTCCAGGCAGCCAGATTTTGCCATGATCCAGAAGTCCTCATGACTGACAGGATCAAAGACCTTGGTCAGATCAATGAACATTGTGTACAGACATCCTTTCTGCTCCTGGCATTTCTTCTGGAATTGTCAGGCAATGGAATGGAAATGGCTTCCCCTGCCCAGATTGCTGAAGGTTGCTGAGTCTCATGATCAAGCTACATTATCTGTAAGAGGAGCTAAAGATTTTCTAGCCCACCTCATCATTAAATATTTAACAATCAGTGTCGAGTTTCATTTGTCAGGGGAGTTCCCTGTTAGAAGGAATACACTTGATTTAAGGTGTTTAAGAGTCTTCCTTGGTGTATTTGGTTACTGAGAGAAACCACTATCAGTTGATTAATTATTGGCTACCAGGAGTGAGGAACCTGCGGCCTTGAGGCCACATGTGTCCTTCTAGGCCCTCAAGTGCAGTCCTCTGACTAAATTAAAACTTCCTCTAGGTCCTCAAGTGACTGAATCCTCTGACTGAATCCAAACTTCAAACTTCAAGTTTGGATTCAGTCCAAGGGCCGCACTTGAGGACCTAGAGGGACACGTTTTACCTTGGGGCCACAGGTTCCCCACCCCTTTCTAGCCTAATAAATACATTGACTATTAATACTTGTAAACCTTGCTTCTCAGGATTTGATTTGCCACAGTTCGGCAACCACAAAAGGATCAGAGCTCTGTATCCCAGGTTCTTATCCAAGACCTCCATTTTATTGCGCCGAAAGTAGAAAATTTGTTCACAAAGGGAAACTTTTCTGTTAGGAACTCTGGCTGCAGATTGACTTTCTCCTGTTCCCAACAATTAGATCTTCTCTGGGTAAGAATAATATATGTTCTATGTCTGCTGTGTTTTTGATGTGGTGCAGCTTTTAATAATTGGTTACTCTCACAGTGGAGTCATGAGTAGAATTCATTCAAATTAATAGGGATCTCCAGAAGTAACCTAGGGAGATAAAATATAATTTCTGGCTCCCTCAGCATTTGATGTATTGTAGGGAGGTCTGTCTGCAAATGCTAAGCTGCGTAACAGTGTGCATCAAATCCTAACAGGACATGGAGCTTCAAAAGGAAGTTGGGGCTGTAGATCTCTACAGGTGTAGTTCCCCCCCTCCCCAACTCTTCTTGCCTCCCATTAGTTTATGAACCAGGGAGATTTATTATGTACCCTGTACCTTTAATTCTTAAAGGGTAGACCACCCACATCTCAATTGGGATTCATTGATAGTCTCTCATCCACCCAAGCTAAACTGCCCAAAAGACTGAGTTAGAAGTTAAACTCAAAGATTTAAACCTAGATGAGCTTAAGAATTTTTGTATGTAATAGGAACTAAGAATAGTAAAAACAGCATAGCCAAAGGGATTCCCTAAATGATCCAGAGAAAACAGAAAATGAAAACAGAAAACATGAAAATGGCAATCAGTTCATCTAAATTTCTCCCCTTAGTCTAATCCGTCAATGTGCTTTTATTAGACAATACAAACCTTTCTCTTGATCTAATCTCTCCCCTTAGAGAATGTCCCTAAGATTGATGAAATTTCAGGAGAAAGTACAAAAAGAGGATGAGAATACTAATCATTTTTACAACAGGCTATGCAAAAACACTAAACTATGTTCGAGGCTAGACCCCTTTAGTTCATGAGATGCATGTATTATCTGCACCCATTTGTTAATCAATCCCTGCCAGAAATATGAAAACATTTCTACAACTGATACCCTGGCTGGTATAGTATGCCTATTAAGTATATCAAATATGTTGCCTT